AAAATCCCAAGAGGAGAATGGAGGAGAAGGGATTGCGGCGTGACCATCCCCCCTGGGGGGTGATTTCTCGCTTTCTGTCTCTATGTCTCTGTCTGGCGAGCGCATGCGCCCTGTAGCAAAAATCTCTCCAAAAAAAAAGTTTATTAATTTCAAGGGAGAGAGAGACCTGCCAGCAGGGTCTTGCCATGCCGTGATGCCCCTACCAGCCTTCCTGCCAGCCAGGGTCACCCGCGGGCCTGTGGTCGCACCTAGTGTGTTCCAATCTACCTGCAACTGGACCCTGGGCTTCCCCCATGGCAACTCCTGCAGTGCCCCCCTACTGCCCATGCTAATGCTGCTGGCCCTGCAAGACATCTAAAGAGGAGGTGATGGATGTTAGACAAGGGTTCACAAAACGCGCGGTGCCTGGGCTGAAGTCAACAAGGGGCAGGAGTTAGCCTGGTAAAGAGGGGCTGTGGACTGAATTGAAACCCCAGTGTGTTGGTGTTTGGAGAAAGGGCTTTCGGAACATAATTAGGTTAAAAAGATATTGTGAGGGTGGGGCCCTCATAATGGGATTAGTGTCCTTGTAAGGAGAGACACCAGAGAGCTTGCTACCACCTGAGGGCAGGGCGAAGATGCCCATCTATAGGTGGGGGAGAGAGCGCACACCAAAACGCAACCATGATGGCACCCTGGTCTCAGACACTAGCCTTGAGAAGTGTGAGAAAGTGAGTGTCTGTTGGTTTTGGGGGTTTTTTTGTTTTGTTTTTCTTTGAGAGATTTTTTGCTGTAGGGCACGTGCACTTGCCAGACAGACAGAGAAAGACAGAGAGACAGAAAGCAAGAAATCACCCCCCGGGGGGGATGGTCATGCCGCAATCCCTTCTTCTCCATTCTCCTCTTGGGATCTTGGGCACGCACGCACACGCGCCCGGTGTGAGTTTAAGCCACCGGGTCCGGGACTCGAACTGCAGTCGACTACGTGGGAGTCCAGTGACATAGCCATTACACTAACTGCTGGTCCCGAGTGTCTATTGTTTAAGCCCCCCATTCTATGGCATTTTGCTACGGCAGCCTGAGCAGATTAAGACAGGAGGGAAAGACCAGCTGTTGCTAGGGAGGGCCACAGGGCAGAAGCAGCAGCGTGAGCAAAGCCAGGGAGACGTGAAATGATGCGTGCTGGGTGGTGTGTAAGACGGGGAGTGATGGGAAATGATGCTGCAGAGGGCGGCACACAGGGCTTGGATGTGGACAGCATTGTAGACTACCCAAAGGAGTCACATGAGTTTAAAGCTAGTGAACGGTGAGGCACATTTGTGCTTTAGTCGAGCCAATCCCGTGGCAGAGTAGAGGGTGAAATTAAGGAGGAGAAGATTAAGAAAGAGGAGACTGCCCTTGCTGCTATAGCAACATCTGAGAGATCTAAAGAGAAAAACGATTGTGTACTCACAGTTCTGGAGGTTGGGAAGTCCAAAATCAAGGCACCAGCAGACCTGATGTCTGACAGGACAGCTCTCTGCTCCCATCAGGGGTCTCTTGCTGCACCCTCATAACTTAAAGGCCTCACCTCTTGAAGACCCCCACCTCTTCATGCTATCCACATTGGTGATTAAATATCCACATATCAGTTCCAGGGGGCTCAATAGCGTTATACAAAACGGAAGGACCTGGGTGCTGGAGGACCATGATCAAGCAGTGCACGGGACTGGAGGTGGCCATGTGGGAGTTCAGAAAATGAAGTCAGAGTGGAAGAGGATTTGCAGGAAGGGACGTTTCCTAGGAAGCATGGAGACAGAACATGCTCAGTGGTAGCCCCTTCAGGAATCCCAGACAGAGGCCTACCTAGGACCTTGTCTATAGCAACTCCGGTTCCAGTGCTCACTCAAGAATGCACCTACCTGTGTCCCCCTCTTATTCACTCGAGACCCATGTGGCACACCACACTGGGAACAATCCCGGTGCTCTCCTTCCTTGTGCAAGTAATAAACACTTCCTACCCAGAAGAATGGTCTAGGCATGCCATTGGTTCCAGTAACAAAGTCTTCATGCTAATTGAAAGAAACTATACATGAAATATTCAAAAAATATTCTGTGAAATATTCAAAAAATGAAATTTGTGATAGAAAGCAGCTTAGTGGTTGCCTAGGGCTGGAAGTGGGAGGGGTTGATTATAATGGGCAGGAAATGATGGAAATATTATTGTTTTGTTTTGTTTTGTTTTGAGAGTTTTTTTTTTAAATAATTATTTATTTAATTTTATCTATTCATTCATTTATTTTAATTTGACCAGAGAGAGATACACAGAGAGAGAGAAGGAAAGTGAGAAAGCAAGCCACCAGGTCTGGTACTCGAACTGCAGTCAGCCATGTGGGAGTGTCCAGCACCTTAACCACCACACCACCTGCTGGTCCCCAAGAGAGGTTTTTGCTATAGGGCACGTGTGCTCACCAGAAAGACAGAGAAAGATAGAGAAACGGAAAGCGAGAAATCATCGCCCAGGGAGGATGGCCACGCTGCAATCCCTTCTCCTCCATTCTCCTCTCGGGATCTTGGGCACGCACGCAACGCGCCCAGCATGAGTTTAAGCCACCAGGTCCAGGACTTGAACCATGGTCGACTACATGGGTGTCCACTGACATAGCCATTATGCCAACTGCTGGTTCCGATGGAAATATTATTCTAAGACCGAATCTCATGGTGATGTTTGTGCCACTTTTTCTATAAAAGTGAAGTGTAAATGTGAAGCTGCTCGATTTCATAGTGGGTAAATGACACCTCCATAAAGAAGAGGGGAGAAGCAGACATCAGCCTGAGATTGCGTGAAGCTCTCTAGCACCGTGGCCACTGAAATCACCGTGGGCCGAGGAATATGACCTGGGGCACTAGGGATGTCTAATGCGAGAGGTCGTCAGACTTTATAGTCAGCCTTGTCCTACTACAGATGAAGAAACTGAGGCTCAAAGATGGTGACTAGGTGGCGGATTTATGTAGGTCCCAAGAGAAAAGGTCTTTCTGCAGATGCAGAGCTCAGACGCCTCTCCCTTCATCCTTTTCCCCACTGGTCCCAGGAAGGAGATTACACACAGATTTGCTGCCAATGTCCCTTTATTTGAGACACACTAATACCAGGCACAGGTCCCCAGTCAGGAGCAGGTGGGTGGGCACGGAGGAGGTGGCCACATGATCACAAGAGGACAACAGAAGACTTGTCCAGTGGAGCACTTCAGCGCTTTGAGAAATCACCTCCTGGGGACAGGCAGCGGGAAGATGGGTTAGTAAGAGAGAGAGTGGCCAGGCTGGGGAGGCAGGGCAGCAGAGGAGGGAGAAGGAGGCGCCAGGAAGAAGCCCAGAGCCAGTGCCAGCTCTTGCGCCACACCCCTCCTGGGACATCAGCACTCCATGTTTCTCCCTGGCCTGCCGCACGAGGTGACCTCGGGTTGTCATCTAGCAGGTACAGTATGCAACAGGAACTAGCAGGCACTTCCCACATACTCTCGCCAAGTCCCCCAGCAAGCCTGTGCAGAGAGGTCAGCCCCCTTTCAAAGATGAGGGAGGAGGTTCAACAAGGAAATAGGTGGGCTGGGATTTGAACTAGGTATGATCTACTGCAGATACTCAAGTTTACATATGATTGGAGAAGAAATGTACAAGAATGCC